CCCCGCCACTCCTCCCCCCAGCTTGTTCATAACAGCTCAACGTCTTAATTATCTGAATTAGTGCTTTCCGGTAGCAGGGGCTCCCCCTCCTCCGCCTCGTCCCTCCCCATCCTTCTCCTCCTCCTCCTTCTCCTCCTTCTCCTCCTTCTTGGTCCCCCCCTCCCTGAGGCCATTTGGTGGGCTGTCACTTGGCATTACAGTCGTGATTTCCTTCTCAGTCGTGATTTCCTTCTCTGTCGCGATAGAGCTGGGGGTGGGTGAGGGGGCTGGAGCGATGCAACAAGTGCCAGGCAGGGCAACTCCGGCACCAGCTCCAGCTTGCCACAGTGGCCAGGGTTTGGGGCAGGCAGGGGCTGGGGGGTGAAGCCCTGGGGCTGCCCTGTTTGGTGAAGCTGTGAGCTGTAAGTTCCTTTGTAGAAAATGAGACATTTTTGCCAAAAAATCCCTCGCATGAGATTTATTTTTTTCATAGTATTGACTGGGGTGTTGTTTTGCTTCAGCATCATCTTCCTAATCATTTCTCCATGACCAGCTCTGTCTGTCTGTCCGTCCATCCTCTGGAGGCCCATTCTCCAAAAAGCCTTTTCTTGCTGGATAAAGTGGCCAAACACTGGGTCAGGCTGCCAGGGCTGTGGACCCCTCCATCCCTGGAGATCTTCAGCTGCCCCCCTGGATGGGGCACTTGGAGTGTATCCAGATAACCCTTCTTGAGAAGAGCTTGAACCATGAGACCTCCAGAGGTCCCTGCCCACCTCCACCATGCTGTGACTCTAAGAGCAAGCCCAGATCATCATCACTGGAGTTGGAGGTCTGTGTTGCAGGGCTGTGTGGCCAGGCCAGACCCTTAGGTTATGTTTCTCCCTCTTTCCTGGAGATGCTGGTGGTGTTGCCACCATCCCACAACCCATACCCAAAACAAAGTCATGGTGAGGAAAGAAGGGGATCCGGTGACAGCAGAGGGCAGCTCCTTTGTGAACAGATTGGTGTGGTCAGAGAGGAGCATGTGGGAAAGCCAGCACTGAGACCCTGTGCTGCCAGGGAACCCCGTGAGTCTGGGCTGGGGAGCCTTCCCTGCCTCAGTTTCCCCACAAGGAAATGAGAGGAATAATGCTTCCCTCCCTGAGTGATTGATGGAGGGCTAATATATGTATATATATGTGTTATTTAAAGATAGGTGGATGGATGGATGGATGGATGGATGGATGGATGGATGGATGGGCGGGCAGAGAGCTTGGCTGATGATCTGGTGTCACAGCCATAGGGCCCCAATCAGTGCTGTCAGAGGGTCCAATATCCGTGGTAGGAGAAGCCTACTGGGTCTGTTGGGAGGGAAGCCAGGAGGGTCCCAAGGGGGCTGGCAAGCATTGGGTCTGGACCGGAGACCACCGCGCTCGAGGGAGAGGGACGAGCCCTGTGGCCCTGTCCCACGTGGGTGGCTCCCCAACAGCTGGGGCTGCGGAGGAGACACGGGGAGAGAAGAAAAGAGCCCAACAAAACCTCCCAGGGGAAGGGAAGCAGGCGAGGCGGCGGCGGTGGGTATTTGTGAAGGAGCTGGAAGGGGAAATAAAAGGCAGAATGGTCACTTTGGGAATAAAGGAGACAAAAGGCGAGGAGGTTGGCGGCGGAGAGCCGGCTCCCGGCGTGCCAGCCCCCCAGGCTGCTGAATGGGCGACCAGCAGGAACTGGGCGTAATTGGGTAATGGGGAGAAGGCTAATTGCAAAAATGGCAGGGATTACCAGTACAGCCAGCGTCCATGCTGGGGCACGGGCCAGGCAAGGGAAGAGGGACGCTGGGGCCTGGTTGTGCTGCGAGGGATGGGTGCTCTCTGACCTGGGATGTGGCCAGCGAGGGGCAAACGGGACCCGTCCCCCAGAAATGAAGCTCCTGGAGCTGGTCCGGCTGGGCTGCTGAGCACGTGTGTGGGGCTGGCATCACCAGAAGGTGATGGTGTGTCGTGGGGGACCCGTGTGACCCGCATCCCATTGCCGTGAGGTGGACCACCCATCCCCGCAGCCGACCAGAGGGAGGCCGGTGAGCTTGCCAGCTGGCCTGGCCCCTCCAATCCTATTAGGATCATGAGTAAATCAGAGAACCCGGTGTGAGAAGAGAGGGCAGAGGGACGAAAGGGCCCGGTGGGGTCAGCGAAGCCAGGCCCTGCCATGGCAGGCGTTACGGCGTGTGACACATCGGTAAAATGATCAAGGAGCGGCTTAGAGCCGGATCAGTTCCCCGGCACCTGCACTCGCCTGAGAAGCTGCTCCCAACCCTCACTCTCCCCGGCCTCAGGGACCTGCCTGCTCTGGCTGGGCTCCTACATGGCTTCATCCCCAGTTGCCACCCTTGTGCTTAATGTCCCAGGTGCCTCCCTGCCCCATGGTTGTCCCTGGGGTCTTCGTAGTCACTTTGGAGAAGCCACATGCCCAGCACCCTCATTTCCTTGCCTGAATGCAGCATTGTGTGAGTCCCTGGTGTCCTGAGGTTTCATCTTGAAGCACAGGGTCTCAGGCCAGCACCCCATGGCAGCCAGGCAGTGCCACCCTGCAGGCAGAACCAGGCTGGGTGCTCAGAGCTCACCTTGGCAGTGGTGGCCGCAAAAGCTCATCCTTCTGCTCAAGCAGCACCCAGCTGGGGTTGTCCATCCAGGGGTCTCCCCTGGGGGCTCCCGTGCAGTCATGGTACAGGGGCAGCTCTGCTGATGTGCTGCTGGCTGGAGGCAAGGGAAGGCAGAAAGGCAGTGGGAGACAGCAGTGCTGTGCCCCTCACACGGTGCCTGGGCTGCTGTCTCTGCCCGTGGCTGTGGTTTTTGGAGGATGAGCTGTCTGTCCCTGGGCTGTGGGTAGGGTGTGCAGGCTGCTCTGTAACAGCAGGGCTGGGATGGTGGAGTATCTGCTGGAGTGAGTGGGGCAGAGGGAGGTGGGGTGGATGGGGAAGAGCCTGGTGAGATGGTGGTGCCTTGCTGGAAAGGGAGCTGGGACCTGCAGGAGCTACTGGAGTGGCCAGCAGGTCACCAGGCTGTGGTGCCACCTTTCTGGGGCAGCTGTGCCACTGGGATGGAGCTGCCCAAGGCTGTGGAGCTCTCTTGGTGCTGCTTGGATGGAGTTTGAGCCAGGGAAGCTGGGGGATGGAGGAACATTGCTTATCCTGGGTCTGAAAACTGCCCATTGTGGTGGCAACCTTGGTTGTGGCATCCCTGCCCAGTGTGTGGGGGCACCTTGGGAAGGCGAAGCATCCCCCAAGCTGGTCCAGCTGCTGCGCTGTCACTGGGTATGATGGCAGGAAGCCACGATGGAGCAGAGCCGTGCCATGGGCAGAAGTGATGACATGGACCTAATCAATCCTGCCTTAACTGCACTGCAGGCAGTGTTTGGTGAGGGATGGCAGTGGTGGGGTGTGAACCAGTGTCCCTCATGGTCTGTGTGGGGAGCCACCAGGGTCTCCCCAGGTGAGAGCTGGGGGTCCTGCAGGTGGGAGAAGGTGAGGGGTGATGGCCTGTTTTTGGGTGGAAACAGCCCCCCCCATCTGTGCTGTCCATCGCCTTGAGTTTCTCTCTGTCTGGGCAGGATGTGCCTCTTGTGACTTATTCATATATTTTTTTTTCCACAAAAAGGTTTTTTTATTGTTGAGTTTTTTCTTTCAGCAAAATCTTAGTGTAATGAAAAACTGTGCTTGGAAAGGGAAAATATTGATTTTTGCAGAAAGTCTTTCAGTTTGGTGGCCAGGGCCAGCTGCCACTGCTGCCACGCTCCTGGCTTTAAACGTCCTTCCTTTCTGCACATTTATTTCTATTTAAATGTTCTATATGAACTGAAATGAAATTAATTTAGTAAAAGCAACATTTCCTGCAGGATGGATGTTCTGGGTCTCCAGTTAAGCAGCTGCCAGTCCCTCGGTCCCTAGCTAGGATAAGGAATGGGATGGATGGGACAGCTGGAGCAGATGGATGGTGGTGGGGTGGGACGGATCCTGCTGTGCCCAGGCTGTGTGCCCCCCGGTGCCCGTGGTTTGGGGGTGGCAATGCTGGGAGCAGGGTGGGAGCATCCCCAACTCCAGGGGCTGATGGTGTGTCCTTCTCCCCCCCAGCCTACAAGACCGTGTGTGGTGTCAACGGGCCACTGGTGGTGCTGGACAATGTGAAGGTAGGAACCCATCTGCTGGTGGGTGATGAGGGAACCCCTCGGTGGTGACACTTTGGGCTGTGTGGGGACCACCGTGCTGTCCCTGCCTGGGCTCGGCTGCCAGCCCCCTCCCAGGCAGAGAGTGTGCCATGGGGGAGGGTGTCTCTCATTCCCTGTCCCCTGTCCTCTGTCCCCTGGGCTGTCCCCTCCTCTCCGGGGTCTGTCAGCCAGCTCCGAGCTCCCTCCTCTGGACACGGCCGGCAGCAGAACCCGTGTGCCAGCCCTGCACACGCGTGTGGGCGTGCAAGCGGGCGTGCTTGTGTGTGCACAGGCATGGGGACACGTGTGAACAAATGGGTGGCTCTGTGTGTGTGTGTGTGCCCTGCCTGGGTGCCCTGCACTCATCCCGTGTACCCCTGCACCCAGCTACCTGCTGTCCCCTGTGTCCCTGCCTGAGCTCCAGCTCCTGTCCCCCATCTCCAGCTCCTCTCCCCTGACCCCTGTGCCCCAGCCTGAGCTCTGGCTCCTGTCCCCTGTGCCCCTACCCACGCTCGGCTCCAGCCGGGACCCTGGTCTGAGTGAGACCATGTCCTGAACCTCAGCCCACCCCCCCAGCACCGGGTGGCACCCTGGTGGCACCCTGCCTGTCCCTGCTCCTGGAGCTGGGGCTGGGTTCACTTGGGTGGGCGCCAGGCGTCCCAGCCAGCTGGGACCCTCCGAGGGGCTTTGTTGGCCGGTGGCTCATTTCTATGGTCCCTTTCATGCCAAGCCCGGCAGGATGGAAATTAATAAGCTCAATTAAAGAGCCAGACCGTGGCGGCTGTTTCCTTTGCTTTGTTGTCCTTTATGCAAAGGTCTTTACAGAAGAATTAAAGTCCAAAGTTCACAGCACCGGAGCCAGCCCTGGTGGCTTGGAGCGAGGAGGAGGAGGAGATGGAAGAGAGCACATAGTGTGCTGGGCAGGCATGCTCGTGGAGTGAACCCCCTTGGGTGTTGTCCCCAAAGCAGGACCTGTCCCTCAGCCAAGGGGCTGCAGAAAAGTCCCCTCCATCCGCCTCGGGGGTCTAGCCTGGGTTTGGGGCCAGGGAGATCAGTCAGTGTCCCTGGGGGGCTGCAGCCTTTGTACCCCATGGGTGCTGGGTCCTGCTTGCCCCTCTGCCCACTCTGACTTGCTTTGGGTGATGTGACGTGGTGTCAGTGTGATCCCCGACTTAACCTGGGGAGGGAATTACAGGGGCTCTGGCGGCTCCCTGGGGTCTCAAACTGCACGGGCAGCCCAGACTGCTCTGTCCCACAGTGGACTGGCAACGCGGCAGGTCCCTGAGGATGCCACCAGTGGATGCCACCAGCTCCAGGGGGTCTATCCAGGGCTGTGGATGTGGTTTGGCAGGCTCTCAGAGACACTGCTTTATGCAGCTGATGGGTCTGTCTGCTTCTGGTAGGGAAAGGGGTTTGAATTTGTTATTTGTCAGGCTCTGGGGAGCGGGGCCACCCTGCAATGTTGGGGAAACTGAGGCACGGAGCAGTGCCACAGCCTGGAGCATGCTCCGGGATGGGGCAGGGGCAGGCAGCAGCTTCCCCCTGGCATCTCCTCCTGCCTGGGCTGGCCGCTGAAGGTATGCCCCCCCCGGGTTTAAGTGGCTGCAGGGAGCATGAACCCCCCGACTACAGGTGGGGAAACTGAGGCAGCACCGGCAGCCAGGCCTGTGCAGGCAGGGATGGCAGGCAGGGGCTGCAAGGGGCGGTCTGGGGGGAGGCAGAGGAGCCCCCTGACCCCTCTCACCCTGACCCTGTCCCTACAGTTTGCCCAGTACGCCGAGATCGTGAACTTCATGCTGCCCAATGGCACCAGCCGCAGCGGGCAGGTCTTGGAGGTGATGGGCTCCAAAGCCATCGTCCAGGTGAGCCCAGCCCGGTGGGGGTGTGGTGGGATGGGGGGATGCAGAGGCGCTGCATGGCTCTGTCCCAGGGTTCTGTCCCCCTCCAGTGGTGGCTCCTGCAGCCGGCAGGGCTCTCGTCCCAGCTCTCCCAACCTGGCAGGCTGCAGGACCCATGTCCTGGGACAGGCAGTGTCCTGCAGCACTGCTCCTTGATGGCCCATGGCCCTTCTGATGGAGCAAGGGAGCTGCACCCAGGCTGGCAGGGTGGCACAGGCAGGGATGCAGGTGGTTCCTTGTGCCAACCCTTGTACCAGCAGTTCAGGGCAGGGGTGTCTGGGTGCCAAATTCCAAGTGGTGACATCTGCACAACTTCAGCAGAATGCAGGGGCCAGACGTGGGCATGACCCCTGTGCTGGGGGGGCTCCGTCCTGCTGTGTCTGTGCTCCCCTCACCCGGGCTACCCTCCCAGATCTCCCTGCTGGGGAGACCCTCCTTGGGACCTCCCATCCCTCATCCCTGCACCTTCCCCATCAGCCTCCCTGGGCTGCCTCCCGCTCCATCCCAGCAGGAAAACTTAGGACCTTCCTACCATCACCCCACAGCCACCAGCCCTCTGCGGGGCCAGGACTGGGGCAGCCAGCAGGTTCCCAGGGTGCCTGGAGCAGGCAGGCTGCTCCCCCCGCCCCCCAAAACTGGGGCAGCCAAACAGTGGGGTTTCACCATGAGCACTGGGGCTGTTTGCGTCTGTCCTGCCCAATTAGCCCGGATCCCCCCCTAATCAGCCATCCCAGGGCTCGGGGTGGCTTCACAGCCGACCTGGCCAGGGTTCAGGCTGGCCAGCTGCCAAACTTCGCTCCTCTAATGCTGCCTGGACCTCTGCAGCGCCCTTTTAATCCTATTAGGGAGTCAGCCTCGGGAGGGGAAAAAAAGGGGGAAAAAAAAAAAAAAAAGGTGTGTTTTTTTTTAAAAAAAGGAGCTTTTTGCACAAGCAGCTTTGTCGGGGGCTGACCTGCACGCACCTGCACGCACCCGGGTGCTGCGGCCATCGCCTGCCCTCGTGCCTGCCAGCGTCCCCGCCAGCCCGGTGCCCCCGGCTTTTCCCAAGCTGGCCCTTCTCCCGGGGGCCACACGGCTCTAATTAAAGCAGCGATCTGGAGGTTAATTAATACAAATGGTGTCAAATATTATACCGATCAAAATGCCTTTGGTTTCCTTGCCCTGCCCGAGGCCCTTTCTGCTGTGCTCATTGCATTAACGAGAGCGTCGTCCCCCCTCCCCTCTTCTCCCCCCGCTTCCCCTGAGCTGAAGCCCCTCAGAAGGGAGTTTTCTTAACCCCAGGATTTCTCTCCCTCTTTTATCACCTCGCCCTGACGGGTTTTTCGGGTGAACGCGGATCACGTCACCTCCCCGTGGAGAGCCTGGCTGCCCCCGAGCCCCCCAGCCCTCTGTGCCCACTAATCCCCGCTAATTGCCACCCACCCGCCTCTTGCCCTGGGGTCTCCGCAGGTGTTTGAAGGAACATCTGGGATTGACGCCAAGAAGACCTCCTGCGAGTTTACTGGGGACATCCTCCGGACCCCGGTTTCTGAGGACATGCTGGGTAAGCCCAGCCCACTTCTGAGCCCTGACACATCTCAGTGCATGGATGGTGGGGAAACCCAGATGCAGGCAGCTGGAGGGGGACAGGCAGTTTGAGGGTATTGGGGTCTCAGGGTTTAGCTCTGCTGCTGCCGAGGGGCTGAGCACATCCCTGGGCATGCTCTCCAATCCCAGGAGAGTCTCATCCAGCGCAGAGGGATGGTGATGGCCACCCTCGTACTGGGCTAAAACATCCCCCGGGGCTCACTCTGCCCAGTTATGCCAGGAGAAAAAGCTTGGGCCAGATGGGGAGGAGGTTTCCTGGGTGAGGACAGGCGAAGTTCAGCCCATGGTCGTGCCATTAGCACTCACATTACCTTGACCTTAGGAGAGCCGGGGGCTGCCCAGCATCTCCCCTGTCCGTGCTCTGAGGTGTGGCCAGGTGTGAAGACCGGCCACCCCATGGGGACACCCACCCAGGCAGAGCGAGCTGGGTGCTGGCAGATCCCCATGGCCCCAAGCAGCCTCCCCCAAGGCTGTTTGAGCTCACTCCAAAGCCCTCAGCCCCCCCTGCCTCAGCTGTGTCAGAGGCTCCTGGGGGTCCTACAGCCCCCAAAGCAGCCCCAGGGGCTCGCAGGGGTCGCAGCCGGTGACGGCGGTCACTCAGGGTCCTGGTGGAGGGACGTTGGCTGAAGCACATTATTGCTCCCCAGTTGGGGGCCGAATGTCTCCTGCAATCTCCTTCCCGTCTCTGCCGGCAGCACGAAACCCGGGCAGAGCCCTGCCTGCAAAGGGCAGCGGTAAAGGGCAGCCTGTCTGGGAGGGGGCAGGTGTCGAGCACGGTACGGCAGCGCGCGGTGACGGCCGGACAGGTCCCGGCTCCCCGGCAGCAGGGCGGGAGCCCCCAGCTCCTTTCCCAGGCAGGGTCCCCCTGTCCCCATGCAGGGTCTGGGCATGAGTCCCCCGGGGAGGGCAGAGGGGCTGGGTGGGGGTGTGCAGTCTGTCCAGGGCTGGCACTGCTGACCCCCCCGCCCCCCTCAAGCCTCCCTGCCCTGGCTTGATGGTAGTTCCCCTTCTTCCCCCCGTAAACCGGGCTGGGGTCCCCCTGGGTGCTCGGCTGCCTCATCCCCTCCCTCCCCTCTGCCGCTCTTTGTGCCACGGCGCTGCATGGAGACGTGGGTGCCCAGCGAGCGCCAAGGTTACTGACCTTTCATGCTCCGTGCTCCCGCGCCCCGGCCCTGCCGTCAGCTTGATCCGCTCTGACAACAGCGATGCCTCCCCGGCCACGTCGGGGACCAGAAGAGAGTCCCATCGGGGCGGCAGTGGGAGGGGGGGTGCCGGGGCGGCAGGGGTACACAGGACAGACACAGCGTGGCCGGCACACTGGCTTCACCGCTATCGATCTGGCAGCTCAGAGATGGTCGATGAGGTTGAGCATGAACGGTGATGCAGCAGGAGCATCGTACCCCCCCAGGTCCCCAGAGCCTGTACGGGGGGGGGTGCGTGTCTTGGTGTCACTCCACCTGCACAGGATCTGGAGATCCCAAGGGGGAGGTGACCCAAGGTTGGTGGCTTGGATGGCATTGGGGGTGTCTCTGGGGCTCTGGCTCTGTGTGGTGGCACCTTCTTACCCTGGGGGCTGTGGTGTCACCCAGCCCTCGGGTGACACGCTCCCTGCCTGCCCCGTGCAGTGACATGGGAACACCTCGTCCTCCAGCACAGGGGGCTGTGGGACTCAGCCCCGAGGCTGGGGGTACCTACAGCCACTCTGGGTGGAAAAATCCTCTGCTCCTCACCTGCAGGCACCCAGAGCTGGTACCCGTGTCCTGTCTGGGGAACCTGAGGCAGCTGGGTTGTCCTATGGCATCCGTGGGTCCTCTCCATTGCCCAGATTTCCCCGTGGTTGGGGGGTGTGCTGCAGAGGAAGCCGTTGCCCGAGAGGCAGGATTGCCCCCATGTGCCCCCACATGCCGTGGGGAGCTCGCAGGGAAGCTCCAGCTGGAGTGCAGACCTTTGGTCTCGGAAGCACTGCTGCCTGTCCCTGTGCTGCCTCCACTGGCACAGGGGACCGGGAGCAGGATGGAGACCCTGCCCCACAGCCACAGGACGGGCGGCTGCCTGCCCACAGGGCTCTGCACCAGGCTGGGTCACCCCCAACCCCGGCTGGTGCCTTCAGCAGGGGACCAGCAGCTCTCTCCTTGCAGGTCGGGTCTTCAATGGCTCTGCCAAACCCATCGACAGCGGTCCCCCAGTGATGGCCGAGGACTTCTTGGACATTAACGGTGATGGCTCTGGGCACGGCATTGCTTTCCAGGCTCCTTTTACCAGTTGTGGGCGATGCGGGAGGGTCTCGGGGGTGGGATAAAGCTGTGCCCTGGTGGCCAGAGCAGCCCCATGGTGCCACCACCACCCCAGCTCCTCAGGGGGGTTGATCCGTCCCCATTGGGGTGCCCTGGGTAGGTGTATGGGTGCAGGGGTGGTGCCTGGTGAGCCCATCCCACCTCAGGGCTGGTGCTGAGTGACTGCACCGGTCCAAGAGTGTGCTTCTTCCTTAGCTTCAGAAGCTCCTGACTAAGTTTTAGCACCAGCTGAGGTGACTCTTTCATTTTGGGTTGCCCTGCGGGTGCCTTATTCCCTCTCCTGCTCCAGGCCAGCCCATCAACCCCCATGGCCGCATCTATCCCGAGGAGATGATCCAGACTGGGATCTCGCCCATTGACGTGATGAACAGCATCGCCCGGGGCCAGAAGATCCCCATCTTCTCCGCTGCTGGCCTCCCCCACAACGAGGTGGGTTCCTGTGGGGTGCTGAGTGCCCAGCACAGCCCCACCAGCAGGCAGAGGAGAAGGAAGATGATGGAGGAGGCAGCGTGGAGGGATTTGGGAGGGTTGGAGCCTGTCTCCTGTGTCTTTCCTCCTCTCCCTGCTGTGCTCTGCTTGCTGTGACTGACTTTTTGGGGTGTGTGTTGTGTTCCCCAATGCCCCCAGCCACAGAGGGTGATGAATTAGTCCACACCAGAGAGGGGGAGCCCACGTTGCCCTTGTGCCTCAGTTTCCCCATGTGCACAGCGAGATGGTAAAAGCAAACTCTGTTACGCCAAGAGCTGTGCTGGGCAGGGAGAGGTGATCTGGGCTGATGTGGGGCACCTGAGCCCATGGGGCAGGGGCAGCTGAGACCACCCCATGGCCCCAGAGTAGGAGACACTGGAAATACCAGACTGATTCATGGGGACACTGACACGGTGGATGGGCAGTGCCGTCCCGGCCCCCCCGGCACAGACAGTGATGCGGTGGGATGGAAAACCCACCCTGACAGATCGGGAGCGACAGAGGAGGGTGACCACGGTCAAGTCAGGGCCAAGCATGATGGGCGCTGTGCCACGGTGAGGGGTCATGGCTGGCTGGTGTGGGGGGAAGCCCCTGCTCCTCCCTGACCCACATTGATGGGTACCCACCTGCAGGTAGGTGGGTGTCTGGGGGTGATGGTGCCTGTCCTAGGATGCTCTCCCCTCTGCTGGTTCCTATTTGTCCCATCTCCATCCATGTCACCCCCTGCCCCTCGCTGCTACAGGAGCCATATCCTTGTCCCAGGAGGGCTGTGGCCCCTTTGGGGGAGAGTTGGCCATGGGTGCTGGCCCCATGCTGCCCGCTTGTCCCTGTCCCACTGCAGATAGCTGCACAGATCTGCCGACAGGCTGGCCTGGTGAAGAAGTCCAAGGATGTGATGGACTATCATGAGGACAACTTCGCCATTGTCTTTGCTGCCATGGGGGTGAGTTGGTCCCAGGACAGGACAGCCCAGCTGACCTCGGCAAAGCCTATTGGTGGGGAGCCCCAATTGCACACAACGTGTGGGCAACCTTGCTGCCACCTCCCTGCACCACCTCGACCCCCGCCTGCCTCAGTTTCCCCATGCATGAAGCCACCCCACTCCTGCTGACCAGCCTTTCCTCCCATGCGGGCAGGTGAACATGGAGACAGCTCGCTTCTTCAAGTCAGACTTTGAAGAGAACGGCTCCATGGAGAATGTGTGCCTCTTCCTCAACCTGGCCAACGACCCCACGTGAGTGACCCCCGTGGCTCTGGCACGCAGCTCTCCTCCTCCTTCTCCTCCTTTTTCACCTCCTTCTTCTCCTTTCTCCTCCCTCCCTGCTGAGGACCTGATTAAGGTGCAGGAGCTGGTGCTGGGTGCAGCTGTGGGTCATTAGGGTCCTGCTGTGCATTCAACAAATGGCTGTGGGATCCTTCTGCTCCCTAGGGGCCAGCCCCACTCCTGGGTGCTGTGAGCTCTGTCCTGAGCAGCCTCCAGTGTGGTCCCGTAAGGGATACCCTGGGGGTGCAGGGGGGGCACTGAGCATGCTCTGATCTGCGGTGCTGGAGGACCCCCCTTTGGCAGGGTAGGGGGGCCCACTTTGGTGGGGATGGTGCAGCTCTGCTGGGTTCTGGCCAGCGAGCAGCCCAGTGGGCAGTGAATGGGCACAGGAGCTGGTGGTGAACCCAGCCAGCTTTTGGGTCCCCATCCCTTCCTGCAGTGTCTGGGAGCCGATGCCCTGGGTGGGAAGTGGCTGCCACCCTCCTCCTCTCTGGCCAGCACCCTGTCCCACCCCCAATAGGTGGGGTCCCTCCCCAGGGGTCCCTGATCACCCCTGCCACCAGCCTGGCATGCTGCAGGGAGGCCATGCAGCTCAGCACCAGGCGGGGGCTCCGTGGATGCTCTGGTGGGGGGTAGGTGGGATCTGGGGGTGCCCACCCTGTCCCGTTGCAGGATCGAGCGGATCATAACCCCCCGCCTGGCCCTGACCACCGCCGAGTTCCTGGGCTACCAGTGCGAGAAGCATGTGCTGGTGATCCTGACGGACATGAGCTCCTACGCCGAGGCCCTGCGGGAGGTCAGTGCCTGTCCCCCGGGGTCCACCCCACTCCCTTCTGTCCTCCCCAGAGTGGCAGGGGACAAAGACTGACCTGTCGGGGTGCATGGGGGGGTCCAGGATGCCTGGGGTGTCCAGCGTGCTTGGGGTATTTGGGATGCCTGAGGTGCCCAGGGTGCTGGGGGGCGCTTGGGATGCGCAGGATACTTGGGGTGCTTGGGGTGCCTGGAGTATTTGGGGTGCATCAGCCCCCTCCAGCACTCACAGCAGCCCCGCTCTGTCCTGCAGGTGTCAGCAGCCAGGGAGGAGGTGCCCGGCCGCCGCGGCTTCCCCGGCTACATGTACACCGATCTGGCCACTATCTACGAGCGAGCTGGGCGTGTGGAGGGCAGGAATGGCTCCATCACGCAGATCCCTATTCTGACCATGCCCAACGATGGTCAGTGGCCCCGGGGGACGTGGGGGTCGCCATGGGGTGTGCTGTGCCACCACTGTGCCCGCACCGTGAAGCCACAGGGCTGGGAAATACCAAATTGTTTTATTTTAACAAGTTTTGGGGGATCTTTTGGGGTAGTGAAGCTTGCTGGGATGCTTTAGGTTTATCCGATCTGGGGAACAGTGCTGGGTTTCAGCCAAAGGATGTGGTTGGGGGGATCAGACTTGGGGGGCATGGGGCAGGGGTGGTGGTACACACACTGGCAAGTCTAAAATGGGCAGTTCTCTGCCTGGTGCTGAGGAGGGGACTGGCTCTTGCTCACAACCAAAGGCTGGTGCAGCTTCCCCGGGGCCGCGCTGCTCCTGTCACCTCCTGGCATGGGGCATGGTCATGTCCCATGCCCAGCTGAGTAGCCAGACCCGCTTTTGGGGCTCACAACCACCCTACCTTCCCCAGACATCACCCACCCCATCCCTGATCTGACGGGCTTCATCACCGAGGGGCAGATCTACGTTGACCGGCAGCTCCACAACAGGCAGGTTCGTTCCTGGGCCCCTTCCCAACTCCATGCTCTGGCAGAGTGGGGATGGATCCAGCCCTTCCGTGTCCACTGGCATCACGTAGGGCTGGAAACCACCCGAGAGCACCAGGATGGGGAGCCCCAAGTGGGGGCAGCATCCCCTTGCCTGCATGGGGGTGCCCAGCAGGGCTGGCAGCAGGTGAACATGTTTGTGTGGCATCCCTCTTGCCTTGCAGATCTACCCCCCCATCAATGTGCTGCCCTCCCTCTCCCGTCTGATGAAGTCGGCCATCGGGGAGGGCATGACCAGGAAGGACCACGGAGATGTCTCCAACCAGCTGGTAAGGGCTGGGCAGGAGGGGGACAATGACGGGGGGCAGGGAGAGCAGGATCATTTGTCCCTTCAAAGCCCTTCTTCCCCAGCTTGGGGCTGAGATCTTGGAGCTCTTGGCCATGATGGACTCGAGCACTTATTTTTGGTACCTCCTCGACGTGAGGGAGAGTTGGGGTAAGGGGGTGGGATGCTTTGCCCTGGGAAGCTGAAAGTCCAAAGGGGAAGCAGAACTGTAGCTTGTTGTGCTACAAGAATCCCAGGCTGACAGCAAGCCGGGTTTTTTCCATGCGGCATATATTATTATAGTAAATATAATTATATTTAACTGTGGATGCTGCAGATGCCAGAAGGCTTTGAAAAGTGCCTGGTCATACAGGCTGAGCCTGGGCATGCAGATCCTGCTGGGGGCAGCCCCAACGTGCAGGGTGACACAACCAGGCAGCAAATGGCCGAGCCAAGGCTGGTGTTTCCCTGAGCCGTTCCTGAAGCTGGGCGAGGGAGAACCTGTGCTGCTGCCCCTGCCCGGTGGGTTGCATGGAGTATCCATCTGCCTGACGGGTTCCTGCCCTTCCTGCAGTATGCCTGCTACGCCATCGGGAAAGATGTGCAGGCCATGAAGGCGGTGGTGGGGGAAGAGGCCCTCTCACCTGATGACCTGCTCTACCTGGAGTTCCTGCAGAAGTTTGAGAAGCAGTTCATCACACAGGGTGAGGCGGGCGGCAGGACACCAGCCCCGGAGCCGGGAGGGGGTTTTGGAACTGGACCGGGCCCCCAGCATCTCCCAGCTCCTTCACCTCCCTTGCCTGCATCTCTTACCAGGTCCCTATGAGAACCGGAGCATCTTCGAGTCCCTGGACATCGGCTGGCAGCTGCTGCGCATCTTCCCCAAGCAGCTGCTGAAGCGCATCCCCGAGAACATCCTGGCCGAGTACTACCCACGCGAGGCCAATGTGGGCCAGGGGATGGCCAGCACGGCCCTCTAACACCCCTGGGCTCTGGGCTGCGATGGTCAGCTTCGAGGAGCAGCCTCGCCTTCCTCAAAACCTCTATGGACCATCCAAAGGTCCCTCCAGTGGGGCTGGCCAGCGTTAGCTGTTAGGAGGGTACAGAGGGCTGTGGGTCCATGGCGCCAGCGTCGCAAAGTGGTGAGAAACCTCTTCTCCTTGCTGAATAAAACCAGCGTGGTCACCAAAACCCCTCCGTGCTCTCGTGCTTCCCACCGTGGCTGTTTCCTTCCCACCACTGGGCATCCCTGGTCCCTTCCCATCTTCTTGCCCGTACCCTGCTGTGGGAGCAGCACTCCTTGCCCATGCCAGGCAGGGCTGCCTGGTGCAGACAGAGCTCCTCCCCTGGCTGGGCAGAGGTGCAGGAAGATACCCAAGCTCTCACTGAGCTGGCATCTCCTCAAACCCCAGCATTTTTTATTTTAAGATGAGCTGGGAGGTGTACATGCTGTGAGAGGGGGATATTTGCTGCAGAGCTGCACGGGGAAGGAGCTGTTAGACTTGGCAGTGCTAGACTTGGTGATCTTAAAGGTCTTTTCCAGCCTAAATGATTCTATGATTGCGTGACCTGAGCTTCTCCTGGGGGATGAAGCAACTCAGTTGGGACAGAGCGAGTTTTGGTTCCTGGTGGTTTTTGCACCAGCACTTCTCCCCTGCGCGGGCCTTGGCTGCAAAAACCATCCTGCTCGGCCGGGTCTGGCTTTCCATCCCTGCTGGGGGCGGATCAGGATGCTCGGCCCCGCCATAGGTGGTGGTGGTGGTGGTGCAGCCACCGAGCCTGCGCCGGGACGGCGCAGTTTCACTTCCCTGCAGTGAGTGGGAAGGAAGAGACGAGCACCGGGGCATAGGGTGCAGGCACCCGGCCGAGCTCAGGGGGTTGGGTGCCACCAGACCCACCGCCATGGCCTGGGCTGGGGAAGGGACTGGGCAGCTTGAAGGTAAGGTCCTTTGCGTGCGTTCGAGGACAACGGTGGTCTTGGTGGGCTCACGTGCGGCCAAGCATCCCTGCATGCCTCGAGGCAGGATGGCGGGGGTGGCTCTGACTGTACCCTGTGACCATCACTGTGGTGTCTGGGCGCTGCCGGCTGAACGAGATGGTTCACTGGAGGTGAAACCAGTCAAGAACAGGGCCTGGAGAGGGATTTTCTCCACTTGTGGAGGGACGGATGACTAGTGGGTTGTATTTAGATGGCCTGTCAGCTCTTGGGCACCAAGTGTGTCTGCCCACCTGTCCATCTGTCTGTCCATCCCTCTGTCACTCTGGGCTGCAGGAGGTGCCCGCCCCGGCTGCCAGCTGCCGTTTAGGGCTTTTGCTGGTGTGTGCGTGTTTGTACGGCTGCATTTTGCAAGAGCCAAGGCCACGGGGCAGCACCCCGTGTGGGGGTTCTGGCATGGGGGTCCTGGGACCTTTTCTGGGCAGCAGCACACCCCTCCTGTGGGTCTCGCAGGAGACCCCAGCCCTTGCAAGGGGTGTAAGGTCCCAGCAGCGGTGGCTGGATTACAAATGGGGGTGGATTTAGATTCCAGAGCGCATTCCCCGCTGGATTAGGTCTGTGATGGGAAGGGTCGGAGGCAGGTGCTGGATTCCTGTCCCTCTGGGTCGTGACAAACCACAGCCCTTCTGGGAGCTGCCCTGGGGGGAGCTGGGTAAACAGCTGCCCCTCTGAGCCCCCCACCTCGGAAGGATGGGAAGACCCTGGAGCAGCTGGGGATGAAGCAGTCACTGATGGGGGCTGGCTGTTCCCAGGGACATGCTCCCTGCTATGTGCCTGTGTGCATTCCGTGGGGTCTTGCACATGGGTCCCCCTCCAGACCAGTCACCCCAGTGTGGTGGTGGGGAAGCCTGGTGGTCCCGGGGGATGAAGCAGTCACTGATGGGGGCTGGCTGTCCCCAGGGACATGCTCCCTGCTACGTGCCTGTGTGCACTCCGTGGGGTCTTGCACATGGGTCCCCCTCCAGACCAGTCACCCCAGTGTGGTGGTGGGGAAGCTTGGTGGTCCCGGGGAATGTCCAGCTCCCTGTGTCACCCTGGCCTCCTCCCACACCCACAGGCACCAGCTGAACCAAGCAAGAGCACAGCTCTGTGGTGGCACCTCTTGGGTGAGCTGCTGGCAAGGGCTTGCCAGGGCAGCAGGATGCCCTGGGGCAGCCTTTCCTTGCCTGGAATTGCTCACAGGGATTTTTCCCGGCTGCGCTCCTGCCTTCTCCGAGTAGCCCCCTTACTCCAGTGCCCTCCACTCCTTTGCTGAGGCCTTTGAAGAGCTGGTTTCTATCAGGTTGGATTTTTGCAGGCTGTTCCTCCCGCTCCAGGCTGTCCTGCTGTACGGACTTTCCCATTTTCCTTAGCATATGCGACCCCGGCAGCCACGGAGGCATCGCCAGCCCCCCCCAGCCCACGGTGCAGGGGGTGCTCAGCCCCTGCCCCTGGCAGAGCAGTGCCAGCCTGGCAAAAGCAAAGGGGTAGAAACACCTCCCAGGTTTCCAGTTGCACTGATGACTTTCTGTTGCGCTTTCGGTTCCTCTGCAGCCATCCTGGAGTCGGAAGGCAGTGAGGATGAGGAGGAGGAAGAGGATGATGAGGAGGAAGAGGATGAGGAGGAGGAAGAGTCAGCTGTGGTGCAGGTATCACTCAAAGGCTCATTTTCTGTTTTATTTCCTCCTCCTGCCCCTGTAACTCCGGGGTGATGAAGGGGTGATCCCCTTGTGCCCTTCCCTCCAGCCATGGCTGCGTGCTGATCACCGGGGTGTCGCGGTCACAGCATCCCCAGCATGGCTGGCAGTGTCCAGGTGCCTTGGGGCTCGCCAAGGCAATGCCACGCCAAGGCAATGCCACATGCACATCTTTTCCCCAGCAGCACCCCCCTGTTGGCCAGGAGGTGGGCGAAGCGGAGGAGCGGCTGGCTGAGCTCGAGCAAGGTGAGCCCAGTCCTGTCCCAGTGTCACATCCTGGCACAGTCCCATATGGGGACTTGGAGGTGTCCTCAGCCCCTCACTGGAGCCAGCGGTGATGGGGTCAGTGGGATGTGGGCAGGGAGGAGGGCAGGGTGCCAGCTGAGACCCTTCCACCGGGCACCGAGGGCTGGGTGGGTGCCTGAATCTGGCTTCTGCTGCTGCTGCTGCCAGCATCGCAGGCGCTGCTGGCCGAGCTCTCGGCGCTGGAGACGGAGTTTGAGATCGAGAGGACATGTCGGCAGCGAGCCGAAGCCTACGCAGCCCAGGTAGGGTCGGGCAGCACTCCCCCGCCCCCATTCCTCCCCCAGCACCCCGATGCCCGCAACCCCTTGTGAGGGTGCCAGAGCATCCCCCACTGGCACACCGGGCTCCGTGGTGCAGTAGAAACCCTGCTGCTGGTGGGGGGGTCTCCATCCCACCCCAGGTGAAGCAGGAGAACAAGCAACTGAAGCGGCTCAGCCTGGCCCCGATGGCCGCCCCGGCCCTGCCCAAGGAGGAGCCCCCCGAGGAGGACCCCGACCCTGCTCAGTGCTACAGGCAGCAGTTGGAGGGTGAGTGGGGCTGGGGGGTCCTGGATAAGCCCCAGGCAGAAACGGTGAAGTCAGAGGCAAAGCACTGGCCCCGGCCTGGCTGCCCTGTCCCGTTGTCCCCTAAACCTGGCTCAGCCTGGCCCCGCGGCTGTAGGTTGTGCCTGGGCCTTGTTGTGGGTAAACAATGAGAAAGTGATACTTAAATCAAATGAAAAAAGGTGAAATGAAAGTGCTGTCGCTCGCACTTCCTCCTTTCCCATCCTGTTTTCCCATGTCAGCAATTTCAGCTGTGTCTGCAGATTTGCCTGTCAGTACCAGGAGGGGTCTGGGGGATGTAGCTCTGGGAGGAGGGATGGACCCGTTGCAGGATGCACTCCTCAGGGAAATGCACCCCTTGGAGGGATGCATCCCTTGGGAGAGACGCACTGCTCAGGGAGATGCACTTCTAGGGGAGGATGCACCCCTTGGGGGGATGGCCCACTCCAACAAAACCCCTGTGTTCAGGTAGTGTTGTGACCTTGCCCATGGGCTGACCCTTGGGGGATGTTTGGGGACTGCTTGGAGCATGAGAAAGATGCCAGTTACAGCCCCTGCTGTCCTGTGGGTTCCTACTCCACCCCATTGCCACATGTCTGTCCCTCTGGGTCACCTCCCAGAACAAGCTTCCAACAGGGTCACTGGTTATGCAACAAGGACAGGGTTGAGCTGGGAAGGGGGATGCTGTAGCCCCACCAGCCTGGTCCTCGGGGACCAGCTCTGGGAGGGCTGTACTCCCCTTTCCCACCCTTTGGCTCCACTTTCTCACCTCTTGCTCGTCTTTGTTTCCAGATCTGCAGGAGAAGATTTCCTGGCTGCTGGAGCAGCGGAAGGACCTCACCATCCAGGTCCAGGAGCTGCAGAGGCAGAACCAGGACCTGAAGGACCAGGTATCTCCTGGGATCCTCACTGGGATGCCCCAGCCAAGCAGGAAACCCCCTGGGGCAGCCTCTCCTTTGATCAGCCTCCCTGTTTGCCTCCTTCCATGGCTCCTGCTCATCCTTGTAGCTCCTTGCCAAGCTCAGGACAGTTTTTTTTTGAGAGATAAGATGCTCCTCTGCAGCCCCTCACCGTCTCCCCGATGTTCTGGGAGTGGGAGGTGGGCTGGGCATGGGGGGCCCCCCCAACTGAGCCTGGGGCTAAGCCAGGGCTTGCTTGTCCTGCTGCAGCTGGAGATGGGACAGGAGGAGCGGCAGCGCCTGCGGGCAGCCCTGGGCACCAGCCAGCGGGCACTGAAGTCCTTCAAGAGAGGTGAGTTGGGTGCTGGGCCCCCATGGCCGTGTCCCCTCCCTGTCTTGCTGCGCCCTGGCAAGCCGGCAGAGGAACAACTGGCAGCTGCCTAGTGCCACCCAGTTTGGCGAACTGGTGAAGCCGAAAGCAAAGGTGCAGCACTGGGAGCTGCAGACGGATGGCAGGGACGTGGGCATCCCCGTCCAGGGGAGGTGGCTGTGCTGAGGCTCCTGCAGTGGCCTGCACCCCCCACGCTGGCACCACACACCCCCTCACGAGCCCTGGCTTTCCCTGGCAGTGTCCCAGATTGTCACCCAGGATTACTGTGATGCCATGGAGCAGCTGGAGCTGGAGCAGGACCTGCGCCTGCACGCTGAAGCCTTCGCCCATGAGGTACATCTGGGCCTCGGGTCACTCTCCCCATGGGTGCTGGAGGGGGAGGGAGGGCATCCACGGAGGGTGGGAAAGTGGGGTGCAAACACCCCCATCCTTATCTCCCTGCTGGCTTAGCCCTGAATCCCTGGAGGATGGGGATGCTCCTGGACACCCGTTGCGGTCCCTTGGGATGAGGTTGGACGGGTTTTCCTCCCAGCCTCCCCTGAAAGGGCTTTTCTCTCGCTGGGGTGAGCCTGGGGGCTCAGTCCCTCCCTGACCCCCGTCCCCATGGGCAGATGCTGGTGCAAAAGAAGGAGGCCAACAGGCAGAGCACGATCCTGCTGCAGAGCTCAGGGCCCAACGCCCAGCTGATGGCAGCCCTGCAGGAGGTGGGACGCCTGACCCGCTTGCTGGAGGAGTCCAGGCAGGAGCAGCAGCAGAAGGTAAGGAGCTGTCCCTGAAGGTGGGTGACCTGGTTTGGGGAGCAGGGCTAGGGCATGGCACAGCTCCAGGGCTGCTGGTGGATTCCCCTGGGCACGGGAACTGGCTGCAATCAGGATCAGATCCCTCCATCACCCCCTCCATGCCCATCCTGTGCTTCGTGCCACAGCCTGGAGAGGTTCTTCTTCCATGGATTTCCACTAGCGCATTTTGGGTGCCAGGGAGAGGGCCCCACACTGGGGTAGCACCCCCCAGCTCACCAGGCTCCCACCACCCAGCCAACTGCCCTAAAATTAGCTTCGAGACCCTTGCAGGCAGCCAAGTTGTGGTGCTGTGAGATGGCACTGGGAGGGCGG